GTAGATAGATTCTTAGTCAGAAAGGGATTGAAAAGTTATCAGGGGATAGGTAGGAAGGTGGATTAGAGGTTACATCAGATCAACTGTGACCTTATAAATGATGGAACAGGCTCAGGGGGCTAGATGACCTACTCCTTGTCCTGATTTGTCTGTTGTATGGCTTTGCTGTGAAGGTGACGTTAGTTGAGAAATATAATCTGTTTCAAACAAACTGTGAGCTCAACCAATGGCTAGCTTAATGCAAGTGGGAAACTATATACCCAACCCCTCAACTTTTGAGCGACAGAACCTTGCATACCCCTACCTCCTTACAACTGCAACAATTAGTCTCTCGTGTTGATAGCCTGCCCCACCTTGCCAGTTCTCTAATTATGTGCAACATACCCCAACCAGTGTGTTATCATGACTGTGTAACAATCTGGTACCTTGCAGGCCTTGTTTCATGTTACACAATTTGTGTGGAAAAATCTGACAAAAAGGAATAAAAAGGGGACTTTGGGTTTTAAAAACGTTTATGACCTGTAGTTTCAGTTCCTTGGGCATAGTGGCTGACATTTTGTCAACTATGTGGGAGGAATAAAGGACTTGTCAACATAAACAAGATAGGATTAAGATCGCTAGTAGCACTGAGAACATTATAAAGAATGTTACTGCGATCAATGCACTAAATGGTATAAGGATCATACAGCTAAATTGGACATGGTGAACAATACTGGGGTTGCAGTACAAAGGGTTTACCAAGAATATGATCTTGTAGGGAGAAATCTAGTAGTTATACAGAAAGGCATGGATTTAAAATGACACTTTGTACATCCACAAGGCATCCTAAAGCATTTTATTACCAGTTAGTTCTGTTTGAGGTGTTTTCACTTTGTGAAGAAAAGACAGCAGCCATTTTGCACATAGTGAGCTTCCACACTCAAGAATTCTGTATTGGTTATATTGATCAGAACAATGGGGAAAATTCTTATTGTGGTAGGGAAGCTTTTGCATCTATCTATGAGGGTAGATGAGGCATCAGTTTAACCTCTCAAAGTATCTTCCATAACGCAGCACTCCTTCAATGCTGTCCCACCACCAATGTCGCACTCACTTTGTAATGCCCCCAAAATCAGTGCAGCACTCCCTCATTTCTTCCCCCTTCCAAAGGGTCAGTCTGGAATATGTCACTGAGTCATCAGAGTGGGAACTGAACCTACAGACCCTGTTACCAACGAGCCTTTGCCCTGCTGAGTTACTATTACAGAATGTTGCAGTTACATGAGTTTACCACTCTGCTCCTATCCCAGTGACACCAAACCACTTACATTTTCCACTGCTGACGACCTTTTTTTTTAGATCAGCTGACCAGTGCTGGAACTTGGGTGGATTTTCTATCAATGGGTGACAGTTTGAGGTACAATGAGCTATTACGTAGCACGCAGGCTGTGGAAATCGCGGGGGATTTCCAGCAATCGGTTCGAGAGAGACAGAATCTAGGCTTTGCCCACATACTCTAGATCTCCAGCATTGCTTCCCCGCCACTGTCAGGGCTCCAGTGTGGTCCCTGAGAGGTGATGTAGTGGAGGCGAATCGAGCGGAAGTGTGACACAGACACAGCATTTCCTCACTTCGCCCATCACCTTCCAGTCAGCACTTCTCAGAAGTGGCGTTAATCAGTCAAACTATCTCCTCGGTGGCACAGCACAATCACATCAACCAGTTTCCCAAAATACCTTCAAAGCCCCAGTGAGACGAATTTTGGGCAACAGGTTTACGTTATATAACTACTAGCGCGATGTGACGGAGAAAGGGACTACTGAGCTAATTCTGATTGTGTAGCTGCCTGTAAAATGAAACAAATTCCTCCAGACTACCTCCCCTTTAATAAATGTCAAGTTTTGCAGCTAACGACGTAACGAACACAGAACATTGTAGAAACTAAACAGGTCTGGCAGCACCTGAGGGCCGAGAAATAAAGTGAACGTTTTTCCAGAACTGCTAGATAGTGAATAATGGGTGTTTGGTAGTTTAGATTTTTTTAAAAAAAGTATATGCAATGTCCTGGCCACCAAACCATGGCATCACTGCATTGTAAATGTCTCTGTGGCAGCCTGTGAATGGGGCTGAAGGAGATGAAGTAAAGCATGAATGAAGGAGAAAATCCAATAGATCGACCGTGGTGGGCCAGACTGGAAGGGTTAATGTGATGACAAGTGGAACCAAAGCAAATGGGTTGGAGTAAAGGCATCAGGAGAGCACTTACAGTTTCCTGTCCTCAAACGGAGTAGGATATTTTAGGTGGGCATTTCAACAGCATTTCCGAGAAACCAACACTGGAAAATAATCCTCTACTCATTTCTAAAAATACCCTAATATTATCTAAGATTACAGATGATATACCATATATTAGCCTGCAAGGGTGAGTCAATATTAATCTGTATGTACAGGCCTTGCTTATTAGGCACAAAGGTTTTGTTGTATATCTGGAGGACTCAGCTGTTGCTTTAATAAACCTGCTTGGCTGGAAAATGCTTGCTGTAAAATAGCAAATGGTGCAGGTGTTGCTATGCTTTGGCTGGGAGGTACAGATGTTGCTATATATTAGCTGGCACAGGTACTATGGATATTATTGTATAATACAAAACATTGAAGCAGAAGGTGGCCATTTAGACCATCAAGTCTGTTCCACCATTCAATGAGATTGTGGCTGATCTGATGATCCTCAACTCCACTTTCTTGCCTTTTCCCCAAAACACCTGAGTTCAATAATTTTAGGGCTTGAGGCCATGTCCTTACCTCAAACCCACACACCCAGGCCTTGTCATCACATGGGGCTGCCACCACACACAACCCATTGTCAGCTACTGGTAGTCCCCATTAGCAGTTATTCATCCCTCCAGGCTGACCTTTACCTGCCCCTTTGTCTGTCCAACTGTTTTCCTGTCTCTTTGGGCTCTATCTCCACTAACTGTTTACACTCCCCCTCTCCCCAGCACCCCATCTTCTGCATAAAAAAACAACTTTTTCCCAGCTACTATCAGTTCTGAAGAAGGGTCACTGGACCTGAAATGTTGACTTTGATTTCTCTCCATGGATGCTGCCAGACCTGCTGAGTTTTTCCAGTAATTTGTGATTTTGTTTTTATGGTTGTGACCCTTGATTCCATTATTGATTTAAAAAATCCATCTACCTTAGCCTTGAATATAATTAATGACCCAGCCTCAACAGTGCTCTGTGGTAAAGAATTCTACAGATTCACAACCCTCTAAGAGAGGATATTCTTTCTTATCTCTATCTTAAATGTGTGATCCCTTATTCTAAGATTATGCCCTGTGGTCTGATATTCTCCTACAATGGTAAACAATCCTTCTGCAACTGCCCTCTGCAAGCCCTCTAAGAAACTTATAAGTTTCAATAAGGTTATCTCTCATTCTTCTATATTCCATTGAGCGCATGCCTAATCTACTCAATCTCTTCTCATAATACAGTCCACCATATGTGGCATCAACCTAGTGAACCTTCTCTGGATTGCCTCCAAGACCAATATATTGTTTCTTCAATAAGGGGCCCAAAACTGTTCACAGATTTCCAGCTATGATCTAACTAGTGCTGAATAATTTAAGCAAAACCTCTTTACTTCTATACCCCATTCCCTTTGAAGTAAAGGTCAATATTCCATTTGCCTTCCCTATTACCCACTTGTAGTGATTTGTACAATGGCCAGGTGGATCTCATTGACTATGAGATCCTTGATTGTTGCTGTTAACATGAACCAATCAGGGAGCCCTGGTTGACATATAAACAACAGATTCAAAAGGTCTTCTCAGTCTATGGACTGGCTTGGAGTTGGCTAGTCAGAGGCCACATGCTGTACACATGTAAATAAATTGTGACTTGGTAACAGGATACTGGTCTCTGTGTAATTATTTCACTACTGAACTTGGATGCTAGTTTATTTTGTGATTCGAGGATGAGGACTAACAAATCCCTCTGTTCTGTAGTTTTCTGCAGTCTTTCTACATTTAAATAATATTCACCCACTCTATTCTTCCTGCTAAAGTGCATAACCTCATGTTTCCCTACATTGTATTCTATCTCCAAGTTTTTGCCCAATCACTAAACCTGCCTATATTCCTTTGCAGACTCTTTGTATTATCTTTCACTGTTTGCCTTCTTGCCAATTTTTGTTTCAGCCCCAAACTGGGCGACAGAACATTTACTTTCCCCATTCAAATCGTTAATAACTATGACCCCAGCACTGATCCCTGTGGCACACCACTAGTTACAGGTTGACCCCCATTATCCCAACTCTGTCTTCCACTAGTTAGCTAATGTACTACCTCCAACACCATGGACTCTTATGAGAACCCAATGTGTGGTACCTTATCAAATGCCTTCTGAAAAATCTGAATATATTATGTCTACAGCTTCTACTTTATTCATCCTGCTTGTTATGTCCTCAAAGAATTCTCATAAACTTGTCAGGCATGATTTTCCTGTCATAAAGCCATGCTGACTCCGTTTGATCATATTATGTAGTTTTAAATGCTCTGTCACTACCTCTTTCACAATGGAACTAGTGTTTTATCAATAACAGACATTAGTTGCGAGGGACAGGTGCTGCAGTATGTTTGTCAAGAGGTACATATCTTGGTGTATACCAACTGCAATTCCTGAATATTAGCCAGGAAGTGCGGGGTGTTGCTGTAAATTAGCCAAAGTGTAGTGTCATTACCTCTGGGCCAGAAGGTCTAGGTTCAAATTCTGCCTGCCTCAGAGGTGTTTCATAACATGTCTGATCACGTTGGTTAAAAATATATATTCACGTGGAGAACAGATATTGTCTGCTGTAACACAGCCAGCGTTCCTGTGTCCCAGCCAGGAACATAAAGATTATGTACAGGTGTTGGTGCATATCAGCTGGGACTACAGAGGCTGGTGTCTGTCAGCTGGAAACATTCCCTGTTCTTCTGTGATCATGAAAAGTTGCAGACTAACTCAAGTTCTCCACTTCCTAGCTTTGTGTCACAATATCTGCTTCTGGAAACTCCAGTCATTGGACAGCGGGTATCTCCTGGAATCATTCGCAAACAGGACAGGATATAGTGAAAAGTTTGAGGGAAGGCAGGCAGCTTGGACTTTGGAATAATGGAGAGCAGAGACGAGGGAAGCGAAGCGCCGAGGCTTGTCCAAACAACCTATATCCGGATGCAAAAACATCGCTCTGCTGCAAAAAGTGCCCTGCAGGTTGGTTTTACTCTGTGCACTAAAACTTGGTGCCCAGAATTATATGCATCACTCCAGCTGAGGCTTGTAATGTTTTTCACAACCAAATCATAGAATGGTTACAGCACGGAAAGTGGCAATTTGACCCGCTGGGTTGACTCTCTGAAGGAGCAATCCACCCAAGAATTCGATGGGCTGAATAGCCTGCTTCCACACTGTGGGGATCTTATGATTCTAATTGCTCCCCTGCCTTTTTTTCTGGCAGTGCTTCTCTTCTATTCAAATAATTATTCAACTCCCCTTTGAAAGTCTCAATTGAATCTCCATCCACTGCACTTTCAGGCAATTCAGATCCTATTTGCTGTGTGAAAGTTCTTTTTCTCATGACACCATTGCTTCCCTTGTTTAAATCTATGTCCTCTCATTCTCAATTCTTCCACAAATAAGAATAATTTCTCCCAGTTTCCCTGTTCAGACCCCTCTTCATTTTGGATACTTCTGTCAAATCTCCTCTTGACCTTCTGTGATGGAAAATAGAATAGTCCAATCATCTCCAATCTACCGTCATAACTGATGTTCTTCATCCCTAGAGTTGTTCCACTGATTTTTTTTCTGCACCCTCTCTCTTGCTTCACATCATTCCTAAGGCATTTGGCCCACATCTCTCTAAACCTTTCCCATTCATGTACCTGTCCAAATGTCTTCTAAGTGTTGTAACTATACCTGCATCTACCACTTCATCTGGCAGGTCATTTCCACATATGAACTACCCTCATTGTGGAAAAGTTACCCCCTCAGTTCCCTTTTAAATCTTTCTCCTCTCATCTTAAAATTATCCCTCCGGTCTTGAAGTTCCCCACCCTATGGGAAAGATCTTTGCTATTCAGCTTATCTGTGCCCCTCTTGATTTTATAAACCTCTATAAGGTCACTCCTCAACCTCCAGTGAAAAATGTCCCAGCCTATCCAGCCTCTTCTTATAACGCAAACACTCCAGTCTCAGCAATGTTGTGAACCCTCTCCAAATTAATAATATCCTTCCTATATCTGGGTGCCTGGAACTGCACACAGTACTGCAAAAGTGGCCTCACCAATGTCTTGTCCAACCTCAACATGATGTCCCAACTCCCATATTCAATAGTCTGACCAATGAAGACAAGTATGCTAAACATCTTCTTAAACACCCTAACTATCTGTGACACAACTTTCATTGATCTATGTACCTGAACCCCTAGGTCTCTCTGTTTGACAACACGACCCAGGGTCCTAGCATTAACTGTGTAAGTCCTGCTCTTGTTCACTTTACCAAAATTCAATAAGTCACATTTATCCAAATTAAACTCCATCTGCCACTCTAGGTAGTTGATAAATGTCTGGAAGAGCAGAGATCCTAAAACCAGGCCCTGAGGAACCTACTATAAACTTTCCACCTGTCTGATAAACAAATGTTCACCACTACTCTTTGTTTCCTGTCACTCAGCCAGTTTCATAACCATGTTGCCACTACCCCTTTTATTCCACAAACACTAAATTTGTTCTCAAATCTGTTGTGCATTTGTTTTAAATCCTTTTTGTAAGTCCATGTACATCATTACCCTCAACAATCCTGTCTACTATTTTATTAAAATATTGAAGTAAGTTAATCAAACTTGATTTGCCCTTAACTAATCTTTGCTGGCTTTCCTTACTTAACCTACATTTGTTTGCTCACATGACTATTTATTTTGTCCTAAATTATACAAGCTTAAACTGACATGCCTATATTTGCTGGGCTTAACTTTATACCCTCCTTCTTGAACACAGATGTAACAGTCCTAATCTGGCACCACCCCTGAGTCTAAGAAAGATTGGGAAATTATGGCCTCTGCAAATTCAACTCTCATTCACACCTCGTGCCCATCAACTTAAAGTACGGACAGTTATCTGATACCCTCTCATTTGCAATTTTTAAACCCTTGAAATATCTAAACTATTTTCTCTTTCAGTATGACCTGAGCAGCAGCATCTTCCTTGTCAAAGACAGATACAGATATCTCAGCTATGCTCCCACCTCCATGTGTAAATCCCTTTTGTAGTCCCAATATTGGCTCCAGTTCACCTCTTACCACCCTTTTCCTAGTTAAACACTCAGAGAAGACTTATTCTGCCCTTTTATGTTAGTTATCAGTCTCTTCTCATACTCTTTCTTTGCTTCACAACTTCATTAGCTTTGTAGACTATTCCGCTATTTAGAAAACCAAGGAACCTCTCTCCCTTACAAACAGATGTCTCAGCAGGTCCTGCCACCCTCACAGATTTTTGTGTGCACACCCCCAGGTCTCTTTGTTCCTGCATGTCATTTAAAATTTGGTTTGTATTGACCTTCCAATTCATTGCGAATGAATCACTTAACACTTTAGTGAGATAAAATTAATTGGCCATGTGTCTTCCCACTTCACTGATATTTCTGTCCTCACTGTTTATTACATTTACATTTGTATCACACTTCGAAGTTATGAACCTTGTACCATCCTCTGAGTAATGTCATTGTGCACATTTCCACAGTCTAAAACCAAATTTTCACCACTTCCCTCTGCTCTCTTGCGCTTAATTTTACTAACAGGCCTATTATTTGATATATTACTCATGCCCTTTGAAAGTTCATGAATGTAACATCAACTGAAATATCTTCATTAACCCCTTCTATTGCTTCATCATAGATTCAATCAAGTTGCCTTTAACAAATCCAAGCTGACTTTAGTTTATTTATGTTTTATGTTTATTTTTATTTAATTCATTTTTCCAAGTATCAATTAATTTTGTCCCAGATTAATGTCTCTAAACACTTTGCCACCAATCACCCTAGGGCAGTGGTTTTAGACCAGTGTGCCACACTACACTGGTGTTCCATGACATCTGTCCAAGGGTTCCATTAAATTTTGTACAAAGGAAAGTAAAATCAATTGAAAACAAACATTCATGCTCATGTACTGCCTTCTGCTTCCACATTTATACCCTTTGTACCCATCAACACTCAGTACTGACTTCATCTATATCCCCTCAATACCCTATAGCCAATCATAGGGCCATTCCCTGTATCCCCATTAACCTGTGTGTCCCTTCTACATCCATTATACATGCAGATTAATCATTTTATACCCATCTGGGCATGTGGAACAGTGCAGGAATTAGACGAGTGCATCATCAGAGAAGTGCTAATGATTGGTCAATGTTGAGAACAGCTGTTGACTGTGTTGGGTTTGATATTTTCAGGTTCCTATGTAACCAGCTCATGTGTGAAGAATGGCGAGATGCCAGTTTGCAAGAGATGCCCAAAGGATACTTATCTCGCTTTTGAGAACTATAACAGCAAGTGTCAGAGCTGTACCCTGTGTGATAAAGGTAAATGGGTTCCACCTTCTCCAGCTGGCTCTTTAACCAGTTGCGTTCCGCAGCTCACAGGATAAAAGCCTCTGGCAACATGTTTGTACTGTGAATGTCTCAGGTGTCAGCCTACATTTTGCAAATATTGAAGTTCAAACCTTTTTGTATCCATTTCTTTACATCTCTGTATATCTTGCTAATTTTCCTCATCTGTCACACTCACTGTATTTCTCTCCTCTCCTGATCTTTTCCGTTTATTGGGATTGGATCCAGTGGTTGACTGATGTGTTTATTTCCCTCAAGAGTTCCAAATTGTTCTTCGTAACTGCAGCGCTGACAATAACACAGTGTGTGGCTGCCAACCCCACCAATTCAAGCAATGTCACCATGTCAACTGTCTGAGCTTCTACTGTCAGAATTGCTCCAAATGTAACAACAGGCACATCACTAAAATCTGTGAGTACTGATCATCTTAGTGTCAGGTGGCTAATTTTTGAAGGGATGTTGATAAGTCAGTTTAAGGAGCATCTTAGTTTGGTTAATGCGAGGGCGTTATTGTGAAGTAGAGCTTATCAGGGAGGTCAGGCTATTTGGGAGAAGGGATCTGTACAGTGAGGAGGTGGGCTTTTTTTGTGGGGAGTTAGCTTGGTGAAGAGGTGGGATATCGGTGAGTCAAGTTAGTGAGGGAGGGGGTTTCCAGGAAGTAAGGAGTGGATAAATATAATTATGCATGAGTAGAGGTGGGGTTGTAGGGGAGAGAATCAGGGAGCTGGTGGGGCGCAGAATTGGGAGGTGGCTGCAGGGGAGAATTAGGGGAGTGTAGTTGTTGGGGGGGGTGGTTAGAATCGAGGGCATGGTTGAAGGTGGAGAATCGGGGGGGCAGTAGGAGAGAGAATCAGGGCTGGTGCCTTGACCCTAAATTCTAGATATTGATTATAGGGCCAGTGAAAATTGTTGTTCTTGTTAACTGTATTAAAACCGGTTATAATGCTTGTGCCCTCTATCAAATGTCTTTAGTTTTCTTAGTCCAGTTTCTCTGGTCTCTCCATGTAACTATTTCTGTGGATCACTTTGGTGAATATGTTACCCTCTGCATGAGACTCTGGCTTCAATAACGAGTTGGACTCAAATTGGTGTCTGGGAGAGAATAAAGTGGGAAAACAGACAATCTAAAGGCAGCTGAACCACTGGAAAATGGAGGGTTGGAAAATGGAGTCAAACTGAGGATGAATAGATTATCTCGTGCTCTGTCCCACAATTGGGTCATTCATTTCTTTGGGCATGTGTATTTACTATAGATGCCCACAGCTGGCACCTGATTCTTTGGGTAGATTTGGGTCGACCTACCCTTCTCGTAATATTAGTCTATGGGGCTTACTACTATTAAATGCTGAAGTTTTAATCACTTTGGCAGAAGAGGCACATACTTGAGTAACAAGAAGTAGTTCATTACATTATAGTAAGATAGCAGATTATATCAGCTTATAGACTAGTAACTACATTAAGACCAGGTCAGAGACATTGGTATTTCCTAAGAGATAGTTACTAGGTCTGTTCTACATGGCTGTAGATTGTAGAAGCAACCAACAACTAAAAGCAATATATAACTGACTAGCTCCTTCTCAAGACAGTCATTTATACTTCTGTGGCTGGAGCAATGCCAAAGCTCCGAGTTCCCTTTTCAAGCCAATGGGCATGTACAACACGTATTGTGGTCAGAGGCTCATTAACCTATCACAGTACTTCAGCTAAATGGTTTACTGACCAATAACTCTCAGTGACTCCCAGTTCCATGTGTCACTTCAGGTTTGAATAATTCAGATGCTCAATGTGGACAGTGTCTACCAGGATTCTACGAGCATGGCAACCAGTGCAAAGCCTGTACAGAGTGAGTCGGTTTATACTTTTCTATCTGTTTACATTAGTCACCTAGATCCTAAAGCAGAGTAATGTGACCTGGGTGACACTGACTTTTCACCAGGAATTTGAATTATAATTCAGCCAGGATGTTGGGACTTTTTTTTTAAAGTTGCTGCTGGAGAAGAGAGTGCAATATTGATGGATTTAGGGCAATCTCAATCAAAACTGAGTCTTAGATCTTAGCATCCCTACAGTGTGGAAACAGGCCCTTTGGCCCAACAAGTTCACGCCAACCCTTGGAGCATCCCACCCAGACCCATCCCCCTATAACCCACCTAATCTACACATCCCTGGATTCAATGGGCAATTTAGCACAGCCAATCCACCTAACCTGCACATCTTTGGACTGTGGGAGGGAACTGGAGCACCCAGAGGAAACCCACACAGACACAGGGAGAACGTACAAACTCCATACAGGCAGCTGCCCAAGGGTGGAATTGAACCTGGGTTCCTGGTGCTGTGAGGCAGCATTGCTAACCACTGAGCCACCGTGCCACCCCAGTCTAAAGCACAAAATGAAAATCTTGGTCCAAAAGTGATGTTGTTGTAATAGAGAAAAAGGACTTACTCCATATCTAAACCACACTGTACTTGTCCTGGGACAACATAGAGGGAGGTTAACTCTGTATCTAACTCTTGCTTTCATTTGATGAGCACAGAACCCATTATTATTTTTGCACTGCCCAGTTTTCAGACAGAGGAAGTAGAATAATTGTCTTTCTGTAGAATTAATGAATTTCTTTAATTTCTGAGATTCTGTCTGTGGCTAGGTGGTTGTGTGAGGAAGGGAACATTCTAAACCTTGAACTTCAGGAAATGCTGTGCCTGCCACCCTTGTTCACCCAGCTGGTTCTTCTAGGGTTTGATTATTTAACTGAAATGTAATTTTGTGACTATTGCTGATTTCTGTGTCTCATATTTCTTTTAGGGCACAGTGTAAGAATGACTCCTCTGCCAATTGTTCCAGGTGTACAACTCCAGAACCACCTTTGGCTCACACAGGTATCTCTTTCAAGCCCTCAGAACTGCAGTTAGTTACTGACTGTAGAACCTGTGCTGCCTAAGGCAATTGTTACTGACTGTGGCTCTGTGTTGCCAAGGACGATCATTGTGTTTCTATGTTGTTGACAGTAGTTGTCACTGACTGTAGCCCTGTGTTGTCCTGAGTGATTGATACTGACTGTAGTCCCATGTCTTGCCTTAGATGATTGTAATTGACTATAGACTGTATCTTGACAAGGGGGTTTATTATTGATGTAGTCTCAGTGTTGCCAAGTGTAATTATTACGGAGCATAGTCCATGTGTTAATATGAAGATTGTGGATTGTCAACTGTGAGTTGCCCTGAGTGACTGTAACTAACTGTATAACATGTGTCAATGAGGGAATTTGTTACTGTCTATGGTCTCTATGCTGTCAAGGCCAATTGTTATTGATTGTTCTGTTGTCTCCAGGATTGAAGTCCGTTCTGATTTTGGCTATCGTGGGCTGTCTCTTCATTCTACTTGTGATGCTTCAGTTTTTGCGCCTTAAATTTCAACGTGAGAGTCCAGACAAACTGGAGATTCTAACTGTTACAGGTAATCTCAGCCAGGAAAGTGTCCTGAGCCATCCCTCTTCCAGCATCACCTAATAATGGAGTAACTGGTCATTTATTTCATTGTGGGATTTGCTGTGTGCAAAATGATTCTCACAGAGCGATAATCTTTGAGTTGACTGCACTTTATCTGATATTATAGACCATGCTGTTTGCTGATTACGGATTGATGTGTCACTATTCGTTCAGACACAAATCAGGCAGTATTTGGTCCCTCAACTTCATTAACAATGGGGCAAGTGACTCCTAGTCACCCCAGCAACACACAATAGGACCTCAATTTAACATCTTGTCCAACAGGCAGCACCTCTGACAATGCAGCACTCCCTCAGTACTGGAATGCCTGTCCTGATGTGTCCACGCAAGTCCTGGAGTGGGACTTGAATCTGGAACCTTGTGACTGTTAGGCATGAATGCTACCAACTGATCCAGGCTGATAGCTCAGAGTAAAATCTGTGCTCCTGGTGAGTAAACTTTATTCCAAGGTCCAGATTTTTTATTTAAACAATCACCTGCAAGCTTGTGGCCATTTGATTGCAAAACTTAGTGCAAATGTCAGAGGGCAGTGGGAAAAGGACCATATGTCATAGGTAACTGGCATTGGGCAGCAGGCAATAGATAACAGATAGCTAGCGATGAGAATGAGAAAGGACAGAATCGAACTACTCACAAGGGATTCTCAGTCTTGGTATTTGTGTTTCAGCTTCTGAAGAAGTCAAGACGATAAAGAACGAAGACAAGAACATAGTGAGTAATGCATTTTGTCAGGTTGGTCACATGACCGATGTTGCTGACCTGAAAAGCACTTCCCACTCCCTCTAGCCCAGGATTCCCTAAAGTAGGGGTCACGGCCCAGAATCACAGAGTTGTTATACTCTAGAAGGAGGCCATTCAGCCCATCATGTTTGCACCAGCTCTCCGAGCATTTTGAGTTAGTGAAATTCCAAGTGGAGTTGTGAGCCAAAACATTGGGATAGCAAGATCTGAGGCAATAATAGTTGCCATGGAGTTCCAACCAAGTTAGAACAGCTGTGCTCCCATTCTACTGGGCCCCTGTTCCCACTGAGGTGGTCACAACAATTTTACCCCCTCAAAATGAGGTCAAAATTGGGAAGAATGTTCAGGAACTGGTGCTCCAGCCCCTCAACTTGAGGTTATGTCTCTTCCAACCCGCCCACATTACATTCTGTGACTGGGTGATACCACACCAGGTATGCCAATTAGATCTGATGCACACATGAGGGAGACTGTAAGCCAAGTGTGATCATGGAGGTGAGACTGGCATAGCACAATGACTAACCCCCAGCCACCACCACCAACACACAAATGGTACAAATCTGTCCATTTAGTAAACACCCTCCAGAATATCCACCTCATCCTTCACTCTCTGTTGGACCCTGTGTCCTCACAGTCTATCCCTGTCAAACAGGGTATAGAACCACATTGTAATCGCACAGCACGTCACTGGCCTCAGGCTCAGCTCTCATTCATTTCTTGTTTCCTTCTCCATCCTGCAGCCCTTTGAGATTCCGGATGGGAAATCTGACATCATTGTCGAGGTCATGACCCAGCCACTGGCAAACTGCAACATCTATGGGACTAGTCCTCAGCAAACACTAGTTCAACCTGAGACACAAGGTGAGGGCTTTTCTGCAACATGTACCTGACCTGGGGGCATTTGATGGGACCTTGTACTCTGCCTTGAACCCGTGCTGTGCCAGCACTGGGGAATAGTGGCCAGAGGCAGGCGGTGTGATTCTGGAGGTCGATAGTGTTTGACTCACTCTCTCTTATTCCAGCAGCCATGACCCTAGACGGAAAGACTTTGTACGAGGTCATCAATGTGGTGCCCGTGCGGAGGTGGAAAGAGTTGATGCGGTTGTTAGAGCTGAGGGACTGTGATATCGAGCGGATTGAGATGGATGTTGCTCAGTCCCGTGACCAGCAATATGAAATGCTGCGGCAGTGGAGCCAGCAACAGGCATCCTCAATGGAGTCAGTGTACCAGGCCTTAGAGAGCATGAACCTCTCCGGAATAGTGGAGGAACTTCAAAACAAACTGCTCCACAAAACTAACTCACCCCGTTAAGCCGCACACAGCCACAACTCAGCACAGCAAGGCTTGGAATTACAAATTCACTACTTTCATCGAAGCCACCTTCTGGGTCTGTCTTACAGCCCAGGATTATCGGAACTGGCTAACTATCAGGGCTAATGCCTTAGCATTTTCAGTGCATTGCCAATCTGATTTTACAAGATTCAAGGAGCCCCCCTGAGGTCCCCAGTGGATCTCTGGGATGGGCAGGCACTGAGTTCAAGCAGCCCCTGTCACTGACCTCTGTCAGCTTATTCCAAATGGAGAGGTCCATCTACAGCACAGGCCTTGAGAATCGAGCAGCATTTGGGAGGCTGTTCTTTATGGGGCTGGGGGACAGGTCAGTTTTGGAGGCACATTTATCAACTTTCTGCCTTCAATCTCGTCCTCGAAGCAGGAATGTCATGTGGACAGGGCAGTGGGTGACAGGGATGGTGATGGGGGGTGAGGGTCAGGGTGTCGGGGACAAGAAGGTAAACGACTGATGCACAGCGTATCTGAATTACTCTGTTATATAAATCTGTTATTATAAAATGTTTATAACCGTGGAAGCATGTTCCATAACTGATTAATTCCCACAGGAGCTCAGTATGTTAAACATTGCAGCCTCAAGTGGTCAGTGAGGAACAGGGGAACTCTGAATATTACTTAGAGAACGTAACACTGGCCTTCACATCCAAACACCATGCAGTCAATCAGATATCTCTTTGAATTGTTATAATGTAGGAAACCTACCACCCAATTTACACAATTCAAGAGCCTACAAATGCCAGATAGTTTCTTCGAGGTAGTCCATGAATAAATATTGACAAGGACGTGACGAAGAATTTCCCTGCTTTTCTGAGAATTTCTGTCATGGGATCTTTGACAGCAACCCAGGAAGGCCATCAGGACATCAGTCTAACATTACATCTCCCCTGGGAGCTAGCTGGTCCTTTCATGGCACAGTGGCAATCCTATGTCAGCCTGGATTATATTCACTAATTTGCGATGTAGCTATCAGCCCCATAGCATTTAGACTCAAGAGATGTGTTACAAACTGTACCAGAGCTGCCATCTACTGTGCAGTGCTCAGAATTACATATTATTGGGTGACGGTAAATATCAATGAAAAGCTTACTAACTGCTAATGCTGTAAGAGATATATATTACTGAATAGGACTAACCACGAAGAGGTATGTGCAACTATGTCCCAGTCCTGCACCCAGGGTTTTTTATCCTGTTATTCCCTGGTGTCCTCCCACATGATGAGTGTCTGAGGCAATGGTGCAATATTGGAGCATGAAACTCATCCTTGTACTTTGTGCCCTCTTGTGGTGACATTGTGAAAATATCACTCACTCGACCACAGGCATTTCAAAGATAAGCAAACAAGAGTATCATGAAATCACGGTCAGGATTTAGGCCATTCAGCCCATCATGGTGATGAAAGATGCCATTCAGTCTATGATGTTATGTCGGTCTTTGAAAGAGTTCTCCGCTACATTAATCCGTTTCAAATGCATGTGCTATACAAGGTGATTTCACTGCACTTCGAGATTGATGGCTGTTACGGTCTAAAACACACTCTGAAATAATGTCCCACTACATCCTCCACTCAGTCTTTTTAAATGTGGTCACTGTTAAATACAATAACTAACACCACGGCCAGTTTGCTGTTTGTGGGGTTTTACTGTCTGCAATGTGATCATGTTTTTGATGGGATTGATTAAGGGAGAAATATTGACCAGAAAACAGGGAGAACTCGCCTGCTCTTTAACTAGTATCATGGCATCTTGCACATCCCTTTGAACAGGCAGCTAGTGTCAGTTTACTGCCTCACCTAAAACAGTAACTACAAAACTCTCAATGGTCTCAGGGTGAGAGCAAAGCATCTTCACTACTTCAAATCCACAGGATTTGGATATAGCTGTTCATTGCAGACATTTGTTCAGGCATTGAATGCCAGATATGGCCAGACCACCACAAGCACAAGCAGACCCTGCTCTCCTCTACTGAAACTGCTTTTCAGACCTTTATTATTTTCTCAAGTTTGGTTGGAACTGAGAGCTGTGACCATTGGACTGTGAGCAGAGCTTGATTATTTTTAAAAGGGGTCATTGCAGGGAGGCTGGTGCTGACCAGACTAACAAAGAGAGTCCTGGGGAAAAAGCAAAGATAAACTAAAGTTTGAACTGGTTTAAACTGTTTTTGGACAAATACAATGTGGCTGTGAACATTGTTGGAAGGCATTTTGGTTGTTCTCCAGTCATCCTCAGGTTATCATCTTATAACTGGGATTCTTTTCTTTGAACTTCCAATAAGAAATAGTGAATATTCCTCAAAGTCTACTGGATGGTATTGACCAGAGTCTCCAGAAATCAAGCAGATACAATCCCATGTGCCCGTGATACTACTTATTTTTGAAGTTGCTTGAAGGACCTGGCCAGTTACATCTTTTACTTTTCTTTTAATTTATCCCTTAACTGTGTCTATCCATCTGTCTGCCTATGTGTGAGTGGGGCTATGTTCAAAGAAAATTGGGTTTAAAGCATAGACATTAATTAGGTTAACCATTTAATTCATTGTTTAACTTTGCTCTGCTAGTTACGGTGTTAATAATAAATTGTTAGTTTTTGTTAAAGCATAATTTTGGTGTGTGATATTTATTATTTGTAAAGTCTGGTTAGGAATCATTGAGATAATTTTGAAGGTGATTGAATGTTTTAATTTTAAATTTGTTGCAAATTCAGGAGTAGGGAGGCTGATTTTGTTTGGCTTGTTGTCCCTGTGTTATAACCACTAGTTCGTTCAGGCACACCCAGGAATGCAAAGATAGCCCTGGTTTTCTCTTCACTACATGCCATCCTACGAAACCTCGCTGCTTGCATCTTCAACTCTCAACACCAAGACATGCACGTTGTTCATGTCATTAAGATTGGGACCATCTATTCTGCATTCCTCATTTCTCCAAGCCCACTCACTTTCCCTACATTTTGCACCATGCCCAATTCCTGAATTTTTACATATTTCCAGTTTCTTTCCTATCTTCCTTCATTCCCTCTCCAAGCACATCTCTTCCATGGCAAAAATCTCCTGTTCCCTCAATCTTATTTCTACAAATTGCTGAGTACTTGTCTTCCCTTCCTGATATATGGCATTATTCATTACTCTCTGATACAATAGCTTCACCTTTATAGCTGCTGTCTTAATGCCCTCCTTCGCAAAAACATTCTTGACCTTATTGTTTATGTAGAGAAGTCACCCCTAGTTACAACTTCACTCTCATTGCATTTCAAGTCCATACCCATTTTTCCAGGAATTCCAGGTTTGAACAACTACAAATATGTTTCTACCCATTGTATCAATGTCACACAATATCCTATCCGGGATTATGGTAAACTGCTTTTCTTTGTCTGTTTGACATAGCTGTCTCCACTATCTTCCTCAACTTGTGGGCAGTGCCAATTCCCCCATTTCTACTGGATTGTTACCAAAGCATCATCCAGAGTTGTATCGGACTTGAAGCATCAACTGTTTCTCTCTCCACAAATGCTGCCAGACCTGCCGAGTTTCTCCAGCACCTTGTTCTTTTTTAAATTTCAGATCTGCAGCATTTGCAGTATTTTGCTCTTATCAGCTGGATTGGACTTAACTTCCTGTGGCCACACCACTTTCTTTAGAGCGCCCCAAGTAGCTATTCTCGATCCCTTCCACTCTGATACCTACCTGCAGCTCCTTAGGGAAACTATCCAGGATTTAAACTGTGTGGCTGATGCCACTCAGCCTCTGTTCTGTCAGACCAACGTTCAGTCTAGAACAAGCCGTGATTTCTTTTGGATAAACATTAGGAAAAACTGAAGCTACTGTCCTCAGGAGCATCTCAATGATCTGTCCTTCATCCTTCCAACAATCAGATCATGTAATACTCACACCACACAAGTGCCAGGAATAACCATTTCAAGCGAGAAGGAATCTAACCCTCTGCCCTTAATATTAAATTATTGGCATCATCATTGCTGAATTTCTCTACTAACAGTCTCCAGGTGGTTACTATTGACTGGAAAATGAACCAGCTATATACTTACCTTGGCTACAAGAACAGGTCAAAGGTGAGTCGCTCCCTCCTATCTCCCCAAAGCCTGGACAACATCTACAAGACACGAGTCTGATGTGTGATGGAATACTTTCCTTTTGCATGGATGAGTACAGCTCTAGCAACACTCTTGACTGGCAGCCCATCCACTACCTTCATCATTCACTCTCCTCAGTGGCCCACAGTAGCAATTATGTGTACTGTTTATAAAATACTCTACAGCAACCCAACCAGGCTACTTCAACAGCACATTCCAAACCAACGACTTCTTCTGCAGGAAAGGGCAGCAGATGCAGAGGAACACCAGCATCCTCGCGTGGAACTATATCATTGTTCCTGCATTGTCACTGGATCAAAACCCTGGAACTCCCTTTCCAATAGCACAACAGGCATCACTGCAGCAGTTCAAAAATGCAGCTCACCACAGCAATTCTCCACAGTAATTAGAGATGGGCAAGAATTACTGGCCTGGACACAGCTCCCAAGTGTAATGAATGAATAATTTTTTTTTTAAAAAGTAAGGTGGGATTTCCATCATATTTACTCAGTAACTCTCTTCAAATGGCTGGTACAGAATGGGATGAAAGGAGTCTCAGGTATAATCAATAACAGTTCAGTCTCATACAGCAAGGTATCTTCACTTAGCTGGATCCATCAGATTCTTCAGGAGTGATTGGGAAGAAGCAGCAATGGGCTTTAGGATGGCTAATATCACAAAAATACTGTGGGATCATTACCACAGTGCAACATGCAACGTGCTGAATGAACCTCAAGTTAATGTTCAAGACTGGACAGACGAAAGGGAGACATTTTGATGTTTCTTTGGTCACCTTTGTTTTACATAAAATGCAAGAAAAATATAAAAATTTTTATTATTTGTGCCATGGTACAAAAAGAATCAGCTTATTAACACACCTGCATCAGTAACTGTCTCCTTTATATTACTTCCAACTCATTACAAACTGATAAAAACTATGATATTCACACAAATGGAGAGAAAAAAAGAGGGATGCAGCGGAGAGGACAGAAAATCGATGAGAGGAGGTGGGCAAGAGGGAGGCTGTAAAAGGAATAAAGGGAGAGGAGGACAGGGATGGATGGAGCAGCCAAGAAAGGAGGTGGGGGGGAAAGAGTGCAGGGTGGGGGCAGAGACAGAGAGGTTGGGGGGGCAGATGGGGACAGTGGAATGGAGAACAAAAGGGTGGTTTAGTTTTATACAATTTGCTGAATCCAGAGAATACCGAAAACCATCCTAATCTGGGTTTAATGTGTTTACATTAGCTGTTTTTATTCTAGTGTACTCTGGGATGCCAGTGTGGATGCAGTTTAATTAGAATAACAGCACAGGCAGGAACTCAGGCTAATGCCCAGGTTAACTGAAAGTGGTGCAGATCCAGACCAATATCATAGTGTGTCTGAAACTCTGGAGTGGGTTCAGTTTCCTATTCAACATTCAACCCGTGGAACAGAGTTCTGCTGAGACTGAATAGAATTATTAAGTTAGGCTAAAAGAACTGGGATGCTACACTTCAAGGTAAGTAAAATCTGAAAGGTGATCTGACTAAGCTTTGTAGAATGGTAAAAGGAACGGACTGTGTTCTATTTGAATTTTTTTTAACCAATAAATAAGTTGGGAAAGGTACAATTGTAAGGTCTATAAAGTCAGATCTTGGTTAGATGTCAGGAAATGATTTTTTTTCATAGAAAACTGTCAAACTCTGGAACAGGTTGCCAGCTGAAACACTTCAAGTGAGAGACGGAGACCTTTCTGGTTGCATGGATGTCACTCTGTACTTAAGGAAGATCCTGCAGGGAATTCAGGGCAATTTCCTGGACTAATTTTGATTCCCCAAGGGGCAGCTCAGGGAGCATTTTCTCAATCTTTTCCCCAAACTGACATCTTAAAAATATTTTGGCCTCTTCCATAATCAGAAGTTTGGGGGATGAACTGGAAAAGTACAAGGCATCACAATTGTGTGGGGCCGGATGGATAGCTTTTTTTCCTCTTTATGCGGGCAGAGTTTGTCCAGGTCTGACCAGGACACATGTCAGTTTCTGCCAGTTTCACCAATGACCCTTGGATTGTGCTAGCAGAGTCACGAAAGCTGCCATTATTTAGCAAGGTCACTTTAAGGTCAGCCCAGGATCACCCAATCCCAAGTCACCATCAGCTCAGGAGTTGTTGAAGTCTGAGCTGTCGATCTGTCACTAAGTCCACACTCTCAGTGGTGTTGGGGTGGGGGGGTGGCGTGAGCTTTCAACTCATGTTTCTTAGGACAGCTTGACACTGCTCCAGCCCCACATCATAACCTGGGCCTTGTTCATCCTAACAAGCTTTAAAATCAGGAATCAATTGCTGGTAAGCAAAGGCCTCAGTCACAAGCCCTCAAGGGCACAAGTTGTCTTCAACACAAGGACACAGGCCTTTCTGTAAGGCCTCCATTCTTTGATCAGTACATGTTCCCAGAAGTATCCTGGATTGGAAGCTGCAACTCCTTCACATCCTCCAACTGTTGCACTGAGCTGCATGTTTGCCAGCAACCTTCACTCTCAGCTTCCACTGGAACACCAGCCACTTTCCAATTCTCCGACTCAGAGTCCTTGTGTTCCTCCTGGATTGGAAACCCTTCATCCACTTCAGTTCCTTCCTCCTCCGCTGGAGCAGGATAATCTTCCTCAGCAGAGACTGGCCCGGAGCTCCCATCTCCCAGCCGGTGGCAGCAGTTGACATAACACTTGCCGGTATTTATTGTAACGCTCACTGTTGGGTTTCCACTGAATTCCATCACGGGGGACGGAGCTCCTGCTTAAACATAACAATCAGTTACACTCAACATCATTCCTCGCTGACTAGGACAGCACGGAATCAACGGGAAGGAGCCTGTCTCCAAGTAGGGCCAAGGTGGGAAATGGAAGAGCTGCTGCTTCCCACTGAAGGCACTGGGTCAAGATACCGACTCTCTGAGGTACAAGTTCCCTCTGGTAACACACACAATTTCCACTAACATTTATTCACCCAGACACAGACACATACTCTGACCCATTCAGTCACACTGGGAGATGGTGCCAGATAAGAAGATAAATTCCCAGGCTATTCCCTCCCTTCTGTGAGTGAGTGTTTGGGAACAGAACACAGAATCCGTTTGTGACACATTAAACACTCTGACATTCTCAGGTGCCTTTAAATATTAGGCCCCACGTAGGATCAGCCTGAGCCCAGAGATCTGAGGACAACAGGAGTGTAGCTGCATTGAGCAAGCTTCTGTGTAGAGGTCGCCCCAAACTCTAGCCCTCTGTAAGTTAGCCCTGATGGGCCTGGGGGAAACTGATAGTGTCACAGTAATCTCACTGGTCTAGCCCTCCAGAGGCCCACACTACTGCTCGGGGAGACAGGATCGGTTCAAATTCAATTAATAAAATCTGGAATTGAAACATTATTTCAAAGTCACTGTTGCTGACAGTATTGTGGATTGTTGTAAAAACCCATCTGATTCAGTGAGGTACTTCAGGGAAGGAAATCTGCCATTCTTAACTGGTCTGGCCTACCCATCACTCCAGACTCTCACCAGTGTGGTCCACTGTTAAATACCCTCTGAAATAGTCCAGAAGACTACTCTGTTCACTGGCATTTAAGGATTGGCAACGCTTGCCAGCAATGCCCTTACTCCTCAATGAAAGACAGTAATTTCTTTTTTAAAAATAGAGTTGTCCTACCTGAACTGGGCCGGGATTCTCTGCTAATGTATCCCTGATCTTCCTGGGAATCGATGCGTGAATAATTGTTCAAATGGGCAACAGCATGATGGGTCTGAGTGCGCTCCTCCTCCTTTGAGCTGTATCCTATGCCTGGTTTCCTTTGGATACCCCCTGACCCACTGCCGGTGCTGGATCTGGAGAGTGAGCAGGAATGCTCTGTCCTAGGCACAGATTCTGTTTGATATTCCTTCTGCTCAATTGTCCCATTCTGCGCTTTCACTGCTTCCAGGTCACTCTCATTTACACCAATTAAAACAGCCATCTCGACTGGGTCAGCCTTCTTCATGGGCTGTTGAGGAAAATAATTCACATTAAAAAAAAAAACAAGAATCAAAAAAAAAGAAAAAGAGTCAACAAGTTGTCTATAAACTGACTGCCACACCCCTCCCTGTCAAACTGAACCAGGCCTCTCTACCTGGGCACTAGTTTAACATGTGGGAGAATAGGTCATTTGTTGTCCACTGTTACTGTTTTATGTAGTTTTCATCTGTTCTGTGAGTGGCACGGTGGCTCAGTGGTTAGCACTGTTACTTTACAGCACCAGGGTCCCAGATTTGATTCCACCCTCAGACGACTGTCTGCGTGGTGTTTGCACATTCTCCCAGTGTCTGCGTGGGTTTCCTCCGGGTGCTCCAGTTTCCTCCCACAGTCCAGAGATGGGCATATTTAGGTGGGTTGGCCATCATAAATTACCCTGTGATATCCAGGTCTGTACAGGTTCGATGGATTAGCCATGGGAAGTAGAGGGTTACAAGGATAGGTTGGGGTTGGGTCTGGGTGAGCTGCTCTTCACAAGGTCAGTGCAGGGCTCGATGGGCCAAATTGCCTCTATCTGCACGGTAGGGATTATATGATACACACACATACAACTTCCACCTTCTACCTCATTCATTGGGTTTGGCTTGCAATCCAACTATTCCCCAGTGTTTGGGCTGTGGTGAGATCTAGCTTGCAGGGTCAACAATGCTCTGACCCCCTGGATCCTGACTGTGTACTAACGCTGTTAAGACTGAGTGTGGTATCTAGTGAAACAAGTACTGTGTGACAGATTCCAGGAGCCCATGTGTCACACGGCTTGACTTTGCTGAAAAGTAGAATTTTAGTCCTTACCATATTTGGATTCTGATTCCAGAGATCAGGCTTCCTCCCTTCAAAGAAAAAACAGAAAGAATAAAGAATTAAAATCAATGCCATGGAATTGATCAAGCTACCAGTGGATTCTCGGAGATGGGATCAGCTCAGCCCTCGTGCAAGGGGAAGAATGGGATAATGGAGAGAGGCCATTCTCCATTCTCATTAGCTAGCTGAAGCTTCGGACCAGTTAAATAATCCCACACTAAGGATAGTGGGAGCAAGCAGAGAGCTGATCATCACACATTGTTAGCACCAGACTCTGAAATGCAGAAAAGGCATATAAACCCGCAGAACCCATAGACGGCCACCAGAGGGCAAATGCCTACCTGGATTTAACATAACAGGGATAGTAGGAACTGCAGATGCTGGAGAATCTGAGATAACAAGGTGTAGAGCTGGATGAACACAGCAGGCCAAGCAGCATCAGAGGAGCAGGAAGGCTGACGTTTCAGGCCTAGACCCTTCTTCAGAAAATGAAACATAACAGGGTTCAGATATGCACTTTTGCAGCAGCATTTTAGCATTTGGGGGAGCCCTTGTAAAGAAGGGACATGACGGCCTACTGATATTATTGCTAGACGATTAATCCAGGAACCCGGATAATGTTCTGGAGTCCCAGGTTTGAAACCCACTGCAGCAGATGACGGAATTTGAACTCAATCTAAAAAAATCTGGAATTGAATAATTTAGTGATGATCATGAAACCACTGTTCTTATCCGGCTCCCCAATATCCTTACAGGCCTGTGCGTGACCCATGATCCACGTTCCTGATACTGATTCACCTTACAACAGAATTCCACAGAATTGGGATTACTTATAATCCTGATAATATAATGACATTATACAGAATTCCTGGAATTAAGTTAGTCATGTTGACTGGATTTCCTACAACATTTGCTGCTGGATGTAAATATAAAAGCAACGTTCAATTAAGACCATAAGAAATCGGAACAGGAGTAGGCTATTTTGCCCCTCAAACCTCCTCCACCATTCAATAGGATCCTGGCTGATCTGTTATTTCTCACATCCACTTAACCCTGTCTCCCCGTAACCCCGGATTCCCCTTAGTGGTCAAAAATCTATCTATCCCAGCTTTAAATATGCACAGGGACTCTTCCCCAGAGCTCTATGTGGCAAGGAGTTCCAAAGTCTCTCAATCGGCAGAGAAAAGAAATTTCTCCTCACCTCAAGTGTTAAATTGGCACCCCTTTATTTTGAGACTATGTTCTTTAGTCTTAGACTCTCCCATGAGGGGAAACATCCTCTCAACATTTACCCTGTCAAGCCCCTGAAGAATTCTAAACGTTTCAATGAGATCACATCTCATTCTTTTAAACCCCACTGAGTAGAGTCCCAACCTGTTCAACCTTTACTCATAAGACAATCCCTTCATACTGGGGATCTATCTAGTCAGAGATAACACAGCGTGGAGCTGGAGGAACACAGCAGGCCAGGCAGCATCAGAGGAACAGGAAAGCCGACGTTTC